GGTCTCTGTCGTGCCAGGCCACAGGGAAGCGCCGTCGATCATCGTCTCCAAGCCAAAATTAACCGGCTGGTGAAAAGCAGTTCTGATCAGTGGCATGGCGTCAATTTGTCAGTGTTGTTTTAGACATCGGGGGCAAAGACAGCTTCTGTTTGACGATGTGCCGCATGTGTGGATCCACGACAGTTATTGACGAGTGTAGCTCACCGGCTTGGTGATGAAGTACTCCAATCTGGTTTTTGCGGGCTCTCTTTTAGCGTCACGCTCTGCGCTAGCCGTGGCCTTTGCCTTGGCCCCAGCGCCCGAGCAAAGCCATACCCGCTATTGCGCTAGAGGGGGAGGGGTGAGCAGTGACTCATTTGCACCCGTCAGAAAGGCCGCGGGATTTCCAAAGCCGAGCGTTCCGAGTGGATGTCAAGTGTGCTGACATTCTTTATCCTTTGTGGATTTCCATTGAGAAATGTCATCGAGCTGTCAATTCAGACCTGGGGGACAGCTTTGAAATGGTGGGCAAAAAATGCATCGTAACAAAATGAAGATATCATCCAATGAAACAAGTGGCGAGACGAGCGGTTTTAACGCGATCAATAATGTGATCAAAGTCGAGACAAAGTCAATTCAGCAAGGATGTCATTATTTATTCATTCATTTTTGCGATTACGTCGACAAGACGACTAATTGGGTCAACCGTTGACCAAAACAAAAGCGTGATAGCAGACGATGACACAACATAGCGCAACTCGACAACAAATGTTTCCCAGAAGACAATGTCAGCATGTGAAATTCCGAAGGGGCTAAAATTGGCTCCACATCAAACGCAGTCATGCTAGTGCGTGTGCGTTTGCAAATATTTGCCCCCGTTCTTCCGCCACACATTCAACACGATGAAGAAAGCATCGCTGAGAAAGAACGGCGGCGAGCCAGCAAGTGCCTCGAGCCGTTTTCAAAGCTTCATTGAAACACGGTCAAGCGATTTGACACCAAAGTCGCACTTGCCGAACAGCTCGGTGTGACTGCCGTAGGAGCGAGGACCAATATCATGACCGTTAATTTTGGGTGGTGTGTAGAAATAGTTCTGTGCGGCGTTCCGGCTTCACAGGACGTCTGGATGGTTAATCTTGACAATTTTGCAACTTTTCTGACCCCTCGAGAAAGCCTCGATCAAAAAAGTAACTTGCGACTTCAATGATTGAATGAAAATCGGACAAGACGGACGGGCGCAATCCTTGACTCAGCCAGTCGACTTATGTTGTTGGGTTCGTTCTCTTCTATTTAAAATTGCAATTTGTACATTTAAAAAAATTATAATTTTGAATCACGTCATGGTCATTTGCTGTTTGTATCGGCGATGGCTGGAAAAATCTTTTTTCCAATTTGAAATTAAATGTCTGGTTTCGAGGCCGCATTATGAGCCCGCTTTCATGTCATCGGATCGGACCCCCCCCCCCCCACACACACACACACACAAGCCTTTTGAGAAACTTCCCCTTGTGCCCTGACACGATCCAGCGCTGTCATGACGTCGTTGGCCACCTACCGCTTATGTGGATGCGTCTGTTATGACTGGAGCCAATTTTAGCCAGAATGCCCCGGATTGCAGTGTTTTTCGAGCTTCTCTTCCAGATGTATTTTGGGAGCAAAAAAAAAGCCCAAATCCAGATGACTTGGTTGACGTGGAGCCGCTTTCATTCAGGCTTTGACGCCGCGTCAAATTACAGTCAGATGTTTTTTAAAACAGGGGCCTGCCTTGCGTTGGATGCTGCGGGCAGCCAAATCGAAACTCAAGTTGCCAGTGCGGAAGCGGAACAACTATGAGGAATCACAAATACCCTTTTTACACTCCCGCCCCCCCGAAAAAAAAATTGGTGCTCGTTCAGCACCAGGAAGAGTAGCTGGTACGTCACGTAAGTTCCGAGGAAGAACGTGTTTGGTTTCCACCGGCAGAGGGCCAAGTAGGACTAACGTCATTGTCGTAAAGTGTTTAAACATCGCTGCTTACTTCGATGTTTACCCAAAAGCACCTGTGCTCATAATAACAATAATAATAATATAATGCGCTGTTAGCATGTGCCAGGCAACTTAGCAAAGCTTTGACCATCCAATCAGCAAACGCCTCTGTCTGTCTTCATCGATGATCACGAGGCCGGCCGCCAGTCATCGATCGCGTACTAGCCGGGCACATCCGCCATCATTCTTCTGGTGGGACAACAATTGTGCCAGAGTTCACAATTTTGTTTTTTTGTTGTTGTTTGTTTGGGTTTTTTGGGGGGTTTCTGGAAGTGACTGAAGACCACACGCAACTTCAACTCTCCTCTCCCAAAACAACAAAATCCATTTCTCAGCGGCATGCTGAGCTGCAAAGGCACGGATAGATGTGTAGCCCCTTTAAAATCGGTGATTAGACGGTGTTGTTGCGCCTCCTCGAAATTGTCAGCTGACAACAATTTTCAAACTCAACGAAAACAATGAAAATGCTGACTAATTTTTAGCTCCCTAAATAAAGTCTTTTTGCTACTTGTGTTTTTGCCAGACGCCGTGAACCGCACATTAAATGCAAACGAATCACAACACAAGATTTCATCATCGGTGCCCGGTTTTCGGGTGAGCAATCGCGATTGGAGAAGTTGATGATGACATTCCTCAGATGCGCGAACAGTCTGATGGATGACGCCCGAGTAAATGTGTCAAAATGAGTGATCGACCGCACCAGGAAACTGAAATATAAGGAAGGATCTCGCAGTCATCCAACCACGTCCACGACGTCGCTCGCTCTCAGGACATTTCAGGCACACTCGCTCGAACCATTTAAGGGCACAGCTTGAGAAAAGATGAAAAATCATTATTAGCGTGCAAATAGCTGGAGCACTTTATGACTGTATGTTAGCATGCCTACTGTTAGCATTTTAGCAATTTTCATCATGCATTTCTTCAGTCACGCAAAGTCCACACAGGAGGGCAGGCCCGAGTCCAGCTCTGAACACAGACCTGCTCAACCGTGAGAACCGCGAGCTCCCGCCGTGCTGCCCCAGTGTGTCGAAATGTCCTGAAAAGGCTTCTCAATCCTTTTGACCAAATGAGGCAAGTGGCTTGTGTCGGCTGTTGTCACTTTGGTGATGAAGTCGTGGGGACAGGTTGCGTCAACGTCATGACGAAGCTCATCGTTACAAATGAGTTGCGGAGAAACGGGAAGGAAAATGACATGAGAAATTCGAAAGAAGAGAAAAACATGAGCTCATGTCAACAAACCGACCAAATATTTGGAATATTTCCGTTGATCTTCATTTGAACGCATCCAAATTGAGCTGATCAGGTCATTCCTTTCGACTGATCAACAAGGCCAAGTAGAAGAAAAAAATAAATAAATCAAGACTTGTGATCTGGACATGTGGCATCATATCAATGTCTTTCAACAATTGGACAAAAAAAAAAAAACGTTGCGTAAAATGAAAGTGTGCAAGAGGGGCACGGTTTTAAACACACACACACACACACCAGTGCACACATCTAAATTGCTCGGCTGAAATGATTTTGTGATGGCATTTATTAAGTATATGAATTCATCAATACCTATAACGTCATCACTGTGCACTCAAGACTCAATAACGCACAAACCTTACAAAGGCATGGCTTAGTACAGGGGTGCCCAAACTACAGCCCGGGGGTCATTTGCGGCCCGCCATCCATTTTTCAGCGGCCCCCGACGTGACCAACGAAAAATTAAGACTAAAAATGAAATGTGACGTGAGCCGCAAAGTGAGTCAAAAAAAGTTAAAAGTGGGCAGAGTGAGAACGGAGGCTGCGCTGTGGAACTTTCCTCTCTATTCAAAGATACAAATAAATGATTAAAAGAATTTAGTGGGTGGTCCAGTGGTTAGCGCGTCGACCTTATAGTGCAGAGGTGTTGGGTTCGATTGCAGCTCTGGCCTTCCTATGTGGAGTTTGCATGTTCTCCCCGTGCCTGCGTGGCTTTTCTTTGGGTACACTGCTTTCCTCCCACACTCCAAAAACATGCATGGCAGGTTGATTGGGTTCTCCAAAATTCTTCTGAGTGAGCACAAATGGTTGTCCGTCTATGTGTGCCCCTGCGATTGGCTGGCTACCGGTTCAGGGTGTGCCCCGCCTACTGCCCGAAGACAGCTGGGATCGGCTCCAGCATCCCCCGCAACCCTTGTGAGGATAAAGCGGATCAGAAAAAGGATGGATGAATGGAAGAATTTATCTTCAGAAAACTGCAGTGAATAAAGATGGTTCACTTTTTAAACGCAAAAATCGTTTCTTCCGCAATCTCTGGCTAATTGATGAAGACATCACATGAATGAGCATCAAGTAACCTGCTCACCTTCCTCCAGTTTTTTCTTTTTTGGGTTCCGAATGTGGCGATGGGATTCGGGGTTTTTTTTCAGTGCAAAGCCGGATCTACTCTGTGAAATTGAGGGCGTTGGCCACCCCAAAAACTTCCTCAGCGATTTGCCTTCACACCTTGAACAGAAAGCCGATGAACGAGACAACTCCGACACTCTCGAATTGCTTTCTTGGGCGACTTTGAAAGAGTTGCCGAATTTTCAAGTGGCCCTTTCGTCCTTCCATTTTCCTGTCGGTGTCCATCCAACAAAAAAAAGTTTTGGACACTGCTGTCTTAGTATCTGCCCAAGTTGAGGGGGGCACGGCCGACCTGACCTCTCCCCCGAGAACGCCAGTGGAATATCACCTCGGTGTCCCACTTTTTGATTACGTGCAACCGATGTACATGTTCAACTGAAATCAATTCAACTCACTTTTTTTTTTTTTTAATCAGTGTAGTTTCCCCACAAGTTACTACTCCTAAGAAATGCCTTCCTTGTCTGTTGTTGTTGCCAAGTCAGATGTGAATATTTTGGAAATTCCCCCGTGGAGCCAATTGAACTTGTAGCACGTGTTCATTGCTTGGAGTGGGAGGGCCGTGGTCGCTGGGGTGGGCGGAGCCTGAGGGCAAGTGACTAAGAGTCCAAGTTGCATAAAAAGCCCCGCAAATCCAAAGAAGGACACAAGAGCGGCACCGCGCCAACAAGAGGACATTCGACAGATTGCGCCTTTCAACTTCACTTTTATTTTTTCCCCCCTCACCAACACTGACGGGGCGCCGCCATGAGATCCCGCGTTTTGCTGCTGTGTCTGCTGTGGTGCTGCGGCACCGTGCGGCGAGGATGGAGCCTCCCTCTCAAGTCGCTCCATGTCATCTTTCCGGGAGACATCATCAAAAACATGACTGATATGGAGCTGGCAAAAGTGAGTAGCAGATGCCGCACGTTGTCTTCATCAGAGAGCTTTCGCAAAGCAGTCAAGCTGTTTAGGGAAGTGCAAGTGGAAACGAGTCACCTGGCGCCAGGACTCGGCAATCTGGCCTTTTTCACCAAAATCTGATATCTGACTTGAATGATTTTGTTTTCCCACCGACGGAAAAAGCAAAACAATGTCAGCAAGCTGCTGAAATAATATTTCTGAAATATATAAGCGGGTAAAAAAAAAAAAAAGACTGCATCTTTTTGGCAACGTTCAGCACAATTTATTATCGATAGATAAATAGAGAGGGAGAGCATTCAATTCCCCCCCAAACCTTTGTGTCATTTTTTTCAGTAATGTAACTTTTTTGCGGGGGGCGGTTCTACAGCGGTGCCTTGAGAAGAGAATTACCTGACTTGAGTTTTTGGAGCTACACGATATTATAACAAAGTCGCAGGCATACATTCTTTATCCTCTGTGAAGAACGACTGATGAGCTGACTCGATGCATGTTTGTATTATACTGCCCCCCCCCCCCCCACATACACAAAGTGCACACACCAAAAGGAGCGACACCGGCAAAAACTGCTCATTTACTCTCTGTTTATACATGCGTACATTTTTTTTGTATTTGAAGGATATTTTTTTCATCTTTTTTCTCGTTCCAAAAACACTCAAATCACCACTTTTTTTTTTTTTTTTTTTAAGAGTCATGTTTGAAAAATGCTTGTTTTTGATATAATAGTCCAAAGGAAGTATAAAATGCTGAGATAAGTGCTATTTGGTATTGGTCGTCCCGCCCCCCCCAAAGTTATCCTGCCAAATCAAGCGGGACTGATGGAAGTCATGACCCAGCCCAACCTTCCCCCGCTCTCTTGGCTCCTGCACCGCATGTCCTCTCACTGCTTGGACTCATTCCACAGAGTTACCTGACCAAGTTTGGCTACATGGAGAACCTGCAGCGCAGCGGCTTCCAGTCCATCGTGTCCACCACCACGGCCCTGAAGAAGATGCAGCAGCGGCTGGGTCTGGAAGAAACGGGCCAGCTGGACCCGCCCACCCTGGAGGCCATGAAGCAGCCGCGCTGCGGCCTTCCCGACGTGGCCAACTACAAAACGTTTGACGGGGACGTCAAATGGGACCACAACGACATCACTTACAGGTGAAGCGAGGAATCGCAATTGACGAACACTTGCTGCTTTGCATTGTCATGTCGCTCAAATAAGACTCGGGGAGTGAAGTACTTTGGGAGGTGCTCGGATATTTCTCTTTCCCAATGATGAATGACCGCTACGCAAATTCTGCTCTCTGGAGAAATGTTGGCCCTCTGTCTCCACACAGGATCTTGAACTACTCTCCAGACTTGGACATCTCCTTGACTGATGACGCTTTTGCGAGAGCTTTCAAGGTCTGGAGTGACGTCACCCCGCTGACCTTCACGCGTCTCTATGAAGGGACGGCGGACATCATGGTGTCCTTTGGAAAAGGCGGTACGTGCCCCCCCCCCCATCCCCCAAACACTCGCGCGCAAAGTTCAACGTTCGTACAAAGTTCATGCATCAGTACCGTGTTTATCTTGCAATAAACTATGACCCGTTTTATGTTCTGTTCTCGTTTAGGCGGAACGCATTGTTTAGATATTTGCGGTATTACGAATGCATGAAAAAAAAAAAGCATCAAAGTGGAACTTCGGCTTCCACAAAAAACTCCTTTCCTCAGAATTTTTCTCGGAAACGAGTATTTTCAAGAATGTTCAACTGCTGTTGACGACAGAATGGTAAACACTAGATATGTACTACTCCACATGAAAGAAAATGGTTAAAACTTTCTTTTGCTTAGAAAACTACAGAGCTCCATTTTCTGCAGGCCTTCAAAAATGAGTCAAAGTGGTCAAGAGTGGCTGGCGTGAGCATTTTTTGGCATCCAAACATTATTTGGCATGTTTCCAGACCACGGAGACCCTTACCCCTTCGACGGCAAGGATGGCCTCCTGGCACATGCGTACCCCCCCGGCCAGGGGATACAGGGAGACGCCCACTTCGATGACGATGAAAACTGGACGCTGGGAAACGGACCAGGTAGGTGACGGCTTCCCTTCTCGGCCTCGCTCTGTTGCGCTCTGGTTTGAATGACACTCTCTCCCTGTCTCCAAAAAGTGTCCAAGACTCGCTACGGGAACGCCGAAGGTGCCCTGTGCCACTTCCCCTTCACTTTTGAGGGCAAATCTTACACGACGTGCACCACCGACGGCCGCTCGGACAACCTCCCCTGGTGCGCCACCACGGCCGATTTCGGCCGCGACAAAAAATACGGCTTCTGTCCGAGTGAACGTGAGTCTGACGGCCGACATCGCCCGACAGTGAACGTTATCCAAGATGATGCAAAACAAAACGCGCTTCTCCCAAACCCGCAGTTCTGTACACTTTTGGAGGGAACGCCGACGCCGCCCCCTGCGTCTTCCCGTTTGTCTTCCAAGGGAAGGAGTACAGCAAGTGCACCACGGAGGGCCGCCAAGACCGCAACCGGTGGTGTGCCACCACAAACAACTTCGACCAGGACAAAAAATACGGATTCTGTCCCAGTCATGGTGCGTGTCCACTTCGGCAGACATCCCTGGAACTTGGGGAAAGAAATATTTGGGAGGCCACGTCACCAACCCTTGGGTGGTTCGGGGCAAAATGAAACGGGGCTTCCAAGCACGGGTCGAGCAAAAGTGGGTGTGGAAAATGAAGTCAGTGAAGTTATTGTCACATGAGGGAGGGGGCCGGGGGGGGGGGCGCTTGTGTTCACTGACGGCGTGTCACAGGGTTGAAAACTGTTTGAATCCGGCGCCAACGCCGAGCGAGTTCATGTATTCAGAGGGTGAGTGAATGTGAGGAGTAATGATGGGAAAACGAAGCTTCGTGAAGCACTTTTTGACTCCTCTCGAAGGGGCTCTTCATTTAGTGCAATAGAAAATCCACTGCATCTTTAAACCAAGAGTGCCATCTAGAGGAGTCAAAAACGATCACCAGTGCTTCATGAAGCTTCGCTTGTCCATCACCAGTGAGGAGTCTAAGTTGAAGGGTTCGTAGTTTTCAAAAGGATGGCTCTATGTTAAGAATGGGCAAAAGGAGAAATGGACTTCGTTTGAACGCAGGTTTTATTTCCCAACGTCTGCTCCGCAGTACCAACGAGATCACGCCTCCTTCCGGCGACTCAAACACTTCCTGCTTTCCTTCAGCCAATCAGATGCTCTCAGCATAAACATGTTTCAGAAATTATGAAAGAGAATATAATTTAGGTAACCTTAACATGAAAGACTAAACTGTAACGCTCAAACATAAAATGATAATACTTAACAATTTCACAAAAGCTTACATTGGAGTATTGTTTTGTGATTTAGTCATCTGGGGTTAGTTCTGAAATTCAGTTTGTTTGTCAGACGTTCAGAAAAAGTCAGTCGCGCAGTTGTCCATCGAGAAATAGTTGAGATTCAGTCCTTTAGTTTCGGCGCCGTGTAGTGCGCACAGAGCGTTTGGATGAGCAATACTGCTCACTGTGCAGCAGGGGGCGTTAGAGAGCTACAATGAATGAAACGTCAAGGAATGAACCATTGACTGATACACGAGTGACAACGTCTCACTGGTTCGCGAGGCTTCACTTTGCCCGTCGCTACCCTTGGGTCGCTTCTTACTGATGTTTGTGTCTCCACCTGAGCAGACACGGCTGTATCCGGAGGGAACTCGGAGGGGGAGCCGTGCCACTTTCCCTTCACCTTCCAGGGTCAAGTGTACGACGCGTGCACCAGCGACGGGCGCGGCGACGGCAGGCTGTGGTGCGCCACCACCGCCAACTACGACGACGATAAGAAATGGGGCTTGTGTCGGGATAAAGGTGAGAAATCAAAGGATGGAGTTTAGCGCGGTGGAGTGATGCCCTCACATCTTTGAGCTCCGAATCCGCAAAGAATAAACAATGTACACAACATATGAGAAACTTTGTTTTTCCCGACGCTTGACCTGTTTCGTTGACAAACGGCGCAGGTTACAGCCTGTTCCTGGTGGCCGCCCACGAGTTTGGCCACGCGCTGGGACTGGATCACTCCAACGTTCGACAGGCGCTCATGTACCCCATGTACTCCTATGTGGAGAACTTCTCCCTGCACAAAGACGACATTGCGGGAATTCAGTATCTCTACGGTAAGGCGAGCCGTACCGCCGCGCCAAAAGGTTGTCGTGTCTCTTGATTGAAATAAGATAAGATCAGGAAACCTTTCTTTGTCTCCCAATTTACAGCAGCAAAATTAAGAAAGGGAGAAAGTAGAAGACAAAAAGTATATAAAACATAAATATAAGCATTTTTAAAATGGCTGAACTTGCTGTTCTTTTCAGGGCGCAGGGAAGGCCCCCTTCCCACACCCCCTCGGCCCACCACCACCACGGCTGCCCCTCGGCCCACGACCACGACCGCCCCAACACCTGTGG